GACATCAAGCTGCTCATGTGCGTGTGGACAAAGAGGCAGCACCGATACGTTCCTCGATCACTCAGCACTACCTTCGTTGACGACAGCAACTCCACTACCCACACCGCTTCTGAGCTGCAGAAATCTCTCGACGAAACCGCCAAGTTTGACCGATTCTCAGGTCAACGCATTCACCCTGGTAAAGTGGCAGGGTGGGCGCTCACCGACGAGCTTCACGCCGCCGTTACCCAGCTCACGCTGGCGGATCGCCCCCTACGTGTGGTCGATTCCTTCAAGCTCGTCGGGAGTTACATCAACGCTGAGGCAGCGCCGGCTCCAGCCGCGCTTAACCTCACGGCCACCGCAGACGCCCGTGTACGGAGGGCGACTATTCGCCTGCCGCGCATTGGCAAGCTCCCGTCGCCGATGCTTATCAAGGCGCGGCACGCCCGATCCCTGGCTGCCAGCGTCTGCACCACGGGCACCGACATTCAAGCACCATCAGGCCCAGCCAAGACTGCCTACAACCACGCCCTCAAGGCGGCTATCCGCCCCAAGGGGAACAAGTGGGTCGAGTTCTGGACTCTCATGGCCGTGTGCGTGCCGGGACACGCCCTTGAGATCGACGCCATCACGCAGCGTGAAGCATTCCTGTGCCTGCGGCGACAGGTTAACCGCGACGCTACACTCTGCGGGCTCGCCAGAGACCTCCAACACCACGTCCAGACCCTGTTTGGTGGAGGACCCGTCGGGCGACTCGTCCAGTCGCTCCAGCAGCTCCGATGGACCTGGCCCACATTTGGCATCATGTACGACGACTGGGGCTGCCCGATCAGCTGGCTGAATTTACCCCAAAACGCCTTCCTGCACATGCTGCGGGCCTCACAACGCAGGGCATTTCTGCGGAGGATCAAGCCACGGCGACACGACCTTGGCTACCTCGCCTCTGTCAGACAGGGCCTTGACCTCTTCGCCAGCACGTGGCTCGCGCGAACTAAAGGAGCAGCCAAATGCACTGCCTGGCAGCTGGCGCTCCTCCTGAACTACCTGTCGGGCGGGGACCACACCCAACAGCGACGATCCCGATCAAACACGTCGGCAGACCCCAGCCCCATGTGCCGCTACTGTGACGAGGAAGAGGAAACTCAGGAGCACACTGTCCGCGACTGTAAGTGCTGGGCCCGAGAAAGACTCCCTCTCACCACCCTCATCAGTGACGACCAGTGGGCCCGTCTTCCGCCGCACACAAGACACTGCGGGCTCTTCGACGAAGACCCAGCCCTCCTCGACCTGCAGGCCGACCTCGCGAGGGACCCGCTGCCACAGCCCATTCCGCGGCCCTCCCCCGAGGGTGATCCTGCGGCTTCAGCCCAGGACACCTACACCACCTACCTTGACTACGACACTGGTTGGACATGGGTCTATGCTGCCACGGACGGTGCGTGCACCAACCAAGCCATCCCATTGCTAGCACGAGCGGGCTACGGCGTCTACTATGGCATCGACCACCGCATGAACTACAGTGCACGCGTTCACGGCCTAACGCAGAACGCCCAGGTTGCGGAGACCCTCGCCATTGTCCACCTTACGGCATGTGCCGAACGGCCCGTGCACGTTTTCGTGGACAACCAGGCGGTGGTCGATGGGTTCCAAAGCATCATCGACGGACATCCAGCGCCGCAGGGCACGCACGCGGAGCCCTGGGAAAAGATCCACCGATGTGTTATGGCCAAGCCCAACATGTTTCGCGTCGAAAAAATCGCCAGCCACCTGGGAGACCTGGGCATCGACCTTGGGCTCATCGGGCCCATCGCGGAGGAGTTCAACCGTCAGGCCGACGCCCTTGCCACAGCGGCGGCACGCACGCACAACCTTCCCGACGACATTGTTGAAGCTGCCAAAACACGACATCGCCAAGCGACCGTGCTTCATGGGGTCGCTGTCGCTATCTACGAGCGCAGACACCGTACTCTGCCGCTCCCACACCGCAGGGCTGGGTTTACAGCAGCGGAACTCAGCAAAATGGAACCGAACCCCCTGCTGTCGGACCAGGCACCACCCGCGGCTGGACCATACATCCCGCAGAACCCGGATGAGCTCTGGGCCGAGGCCCAACGGGCGATGCTCGACGAACAGGAGGACGACCCGTTCGGCTTCGGCGGGGGATTAGACTTCTTGGACGACGGCCCAGCCAGCGCCAACCCTGCCCCGTCGGGCAGCCTCTCGACGCCCACCCCGACTCCGCCACCGAGAGCGACATCGCACCCACATGATGACGTCGCTCACCGTCAAGACGCCGACGAGGACCTTTATGATCCCCTCGGATTGAGTGGCAGCATAGACGACGCCCCGCCGACACCCCACGCTGCCGACGATGCCGCTCCATCGAGACGCCACCCGACCACGCGGCCGACCTCCGAGCCCTCGCACGGCATCATGATTGGTCCCCCCGCGCCACCCACCCCGTCCCCCCACCAGCGCCAGCCCGCGGGGGCGGCTCCAGCCCCCCCGCAGGGCACCGAGCCAGTCAGGCCGTCGCACCCCGTCCACGCTTTTACTGTTGCTGGGTGCG